GAAGTAAGGCATGTAGCAACATCAACAGGGCAAAGGGCACTCCTTTAAAGGCAAGGAAGGGCAAAAATATTTTAAGTCAAGTGATAGCGATTGCTGTATGAGTTGTATGATTTTTGAATCAAGCACAGGCAAAAATAGTTTAAAAATTTTGAGGACAAGTTCCTCACACCAAAACAAGGACAAAAGACCATATAAACAAATGTCTGCAAATCCTTCAGTTTTGAGTTATTAAGTTTACAGTAGATGGCACAGTGTTGCCAGTAGACTAGGTTACATTTGTCAGGTGTGTACATTTGTGGCTAGTCTTTCTTCAATGTTTGACATGTGTAATAGTGAATTAACTGAGAAGTGTTCCATTTAACAATGGCAAGATATTTATATTGTGAACAGGCAAATATGGTTTTTGCATACAACAGTGTAAATGGTAATGGACACGAGGCTTCACAGTTGTATCAGATTGCACTTCCAGATTGAAAGCAACTGTGTCATCCAACCTTTTCTGTTGTTTGTTGTCATGTTGCTAAGACAGGATAAGTGGCACTACAAACTATAGTAATAAGTATTTTTGGATTGTAACTTGGATTGTACATTGAACAATGTCTACCATAAACTTGAAACTTAATAACTCAAAAAATAAAATGAATTGCGGACATATATTTATGCAAACTTTTGTCCTTGTTTTGGTGTGAGGAACATGCCCCCAAATTTTGTAAGCATACATCCTATATATATATATATATATATATATACACACACACACAGAGAGTGCGACGGGTAAATTGTCACCATTTTATATTTTTAATTTCACGTATGTTCATTGTTTGTTTTCTATTTTTTTCAACTGCACATTATAGTAGGATCAGTTGGGCACATTCTGAGAGAAAAAGAGCACCATGATGCAATTCACCCCACCAAAAATTTAAAAATGGCATTCTGTACTGCTTGACATTCACATCAGAAGCTCCAATGCAAACATTTCAGAGTGTTCGGGTGTCAATCTGAGGACAGTGCAGAGGATTTGGAATGAGTTGGATGTATCTAATGGTGATTATGAAGATATGGCAACTCAGAAAACTCACTTTGATTGTTCTGATAAGAAAAGAACTCCTGAATTTGTTGGTGTGGGTCTCAAACTCAACAAAGAGGTCTGTAACAAGTGCCTTGAGGAGGTAGTGTGGCCCTGGGTCAAGCGGGGTGGCTGCTGGAAGACCCTATGTCTGGCAACAGGACTCTACACTATGCCACACAAGCAGGAGAACTCAGTCATGACTATCATGACAGGATCCCTTACATCTGGCCACCTAACTCCCCAGACTGCAACCCCCTTGATTATCATGTGTGGGGTGCAGTTAAGCAAAAGACCAACAAAACTCCAACGATAAACTGAAGGCAAGGATTATGGCATCATTCACCAACTTAAACAAGGAGACTGTCAAGAAGAGTTGCAGAAGATTCAGAAGTCATCTGGAGGCCGTGGTTGAAGCCAATGGCGATTTTATTGAATAAATTTAGTCTTTATTATTTCAAGATATTTTTGTGCAATTTAGGTAAATATCTCTGTTAAAATGAGATGTCAGTATTATTTTCATTTTTGTGTAATTTAGACGACAATTTATCCATTGCACTCTGTATATATATATATATATAAAAACTGTAAATATTATTGCTTTATAAAAATTATAGTTTGTCTATGTGGGAATCAGATGATTTATGTATATTATTAGTGTATTTTATTGTGTCATATATTTATAATTTATATGTATATGTCTAGTAAATAAAATAATGGTTTTAATAAAGTTGATTTGGGAATATTTTTATGTACATACTCTTTTTGTTTCAGATAAGTATACATTAGATTCTTTAAAAAAAAATTCAATAAATAAAATGATGCAATATAAATAATATTTTTTGATTTATTTAATAGTTATTAATATTGTTATTAGTAAACTCTTGAATTACTTTTATGTAAAAAATAACAAAAATTTTGGAATTAGGGTTTAATTTGAAAAAATCAAAGTTTTATCCATCCTTTTATTTAAATTCTTAAAAATTACAATAGAGTTTGAATGGTTTTCAAAACATAAATCTCTTTTATGCTCATAGATATAGGCATTGGGATGTCTCTCTAAAAAGTTATTTTACATATAAAAATTTATTATTGTTTATTATTTGGCCAGCAGAAAAAAAATTATGAAAATAAAATTTAAAATCAGAATTTCAAATTTTGTGTTCTTGTAGGAACAAAAAAAAAAAATTATTGATTGATTAAAAAATCATCTTATCAACTTGAAGAAAAGTTATTTAAAATAAAAATAATATTTTTAGAATTATAAATTGAAATTGTAAAAAAATTAGGGGGAAATAATAATGGTTTAGTGATAAAAGTCTTACTAATGTAACCCTTACCTGGGAAGATTTTGCTTGGATTCATACCTTTCCCAAGGATATCTGCATGTAATATAATTGTTCAACCAGGAATTGGAATTTTTTCTCTGAATTAACAATTCAAGTCATTATCCATTATACCATTTACAAGCAATATAAACAGCAAATTTTTAGTCATTTTTTTGTTTATATTTTGAAACTGAAATGATAATTATAATTTCTAGGTAAAAAGTCTTAAGAAATTTTGATTTGGAAATTTGAAACTCACAGGATATATTGAAATTGTTTAAGAAAAATAGTGTATTTTAATTTAACAAGTTCCAAATTTTTTATTCCAAAGAGTAATACTTTAAACACTTCCATGCCAGAAAATTGGGTTTCATGATTTATTAGCAGATTCAACATTTTAACCAATATGGCTCTAGACGTGGCTTGCAAATATATAGAAGACCACATACTGACTCTTTGCAGATGAATCATGAACAGGTGCAAGATTCTGTTAAACATGAACCAGGAACATCGATTCACAAATATTCTGAAATAAAACAGGTCTCAGATGTAATTAATTCAGACTAAAGAAAATTTACACTTATATATATAAACTTTTAATGAATATATTGAATTTTAAATTAAAATTATGTGTAATAAAACTCATTTCTATTTGAATGGATTTTGTTTTTTTTCATTCTGTTGTGAATTTTCCATTAGTAATTTTCCTATGTTAATCTAAGTTCTGAAAAAAAAAAAAATGAAAAATCTGACATTTTTAAATGCCTAGATGACTTTTGGGACACTCTGTATTTAATATTAGTTTACCCTAAAGGAAATCAAAATTATCTTATTAGCTATGTAAAATTTAATAAAATAACCATGATTTTGGATTCATGTATCATGTTACAAGTTCGAATTCCAGTTGAGTTCATTAGATTCACTTACTCACAAATACTCTTGGAAAGGTATGAATCCATCTATCCTCCCCAACTATGGGTTATGAAATCAGGACAAAGGTGGGTTCTTTGGCCTTTTTGTCAACTAATTACTGAAAAAAGAAATGGCATAACCTAATTGGGGGAAAAAAAAATTGCCTCGTCAGTCATGTATTGAAAGAAACATAATGTCTTTATCCTAAATGCATCATGTATGGCTTTTAATTGACTGATCACTATTCGTTTAAGCCCTTGGTTAATGTTTTTGGGGTGCCTAAGCATGGGAATAGAATTCAGACTGGCTGCCAATGAACATTTTTTTTTTTTTGCTTGTATTTATTGGTCTGAAAAATGAATTAATATTTATATTCAGTACTTTCATATATTTTTTTACATTACTTTTTGAAAATTGATTCCTTAACAGATAGTATTTCTTTTCTTTCTCTATTTTTCCTTTTTTTTTTTTTTTTGTCATTTCACACCAAGCAAGACGATAATGCCATTAGGACACAAGGGGGTTACTTCCAGTAAAAAAAAAAAAGAATTTGTTTTTAGAAAATCTAAAAAATAACAAAAAAGAACAGGTTTCAAGAAGATGGCAATTGGCAGTGAATTAAAATATTTGAAAATTGTAGATGGTAATGAAGTAAGAAATCAGAAAACTAATTTTTGTTACAAACAAGAATTTTCAAAAATTTAATTTTAGAATACTAATGAAAATGGTGTGTTATCTAAGTTAAATTTTTCAATAAAAAAGGTGAGACCTATTTTGCCAATCTAGTAGCATGCTTAAATTCAAATCAAAAGAGGCATTAAAGAGAACAACTGATAAGAACACCATTTTGAAAATATTTGTAGAATTTTGCTTTTTTACCAGGCTACATCAGTGGGAAATTTACTGAGTTTTCAAGATGATTAAGTTCAGGATCGATTAAATTACAGATCCTTCTTTGAATTTTTGTCAAGAACTCGGATATATAATAGAAACACAAGACCAGATATTTTGTAAATTAATCTTTTTCTTCATTTTTTTTTGTTTGTTGCTATTTTTTTTCTTTACATTCTTTTATTTATTTTTAATGTCTTTTTACCCATCTTGAATCGACACCCATCTTCTCCTTGACCAAAGTTCAGGTTCTTAACACCCAGTAAAGCTATAGGAAAACTATTGATTTTCATTCACTCATCTCCCAATTCAGATGATTGGTATCTCAAGATTGAACCTTGTGGAATCGGAAGCACTCAAAGGATAAAGAATCCAGAGAATGCAATCATAAAACTTCAGATTCTAGAATGTAGAAGTTGACTGGGTTAAAATGAATATAAATTGTTTAAGAAAATTATTTATTTTTAATCAAAATATATTTTCATTCATATTTTCATATCAGATTTTTTTTCTTATATATACAATATATTCCTTCATTTTTAAGGACATTGGATTTAATATTTTTTTTCATTTTTTTTGGAAAAAAAAACATTCAAAACTTGAAAAGAATTGCTTTTTTGTCATAATTTTTTTTCATTTTGTTTTTACTATTTCATCTCTTGTAATTTTACTTCAATTTTTCTTTAATTATTTTGGATTTTTTGTTTACCAATTTTTTTTTTTATAATTTATTATTCAACCTTTCGGTATTTTTTTATTTTTTTATTCCATTCCTCTCGAAATATTGAGATCTTTCCTTATTTATGACATTCCTTTTCTTATCATTTTTTCTTTTTTTATTTCATTCAAAATTCTATCTATTTTTATTTCTTTCTTTATTGACATTATCCATCCTCTATCCATCTTTTTTTCATGTGACATTTTTCTTTTTTTGTTTTTTATGACATTCCTCCATCTCTATATTTCTTTCTTTCTTTATGACATTCCCCTTCTCTATTTAAATTTCAAAAAATTTTTATACATTCCTTTAATTAGAATTTTTTTTTTTAAAAATTTCCATCAAAATTTTTCATTCTTTTTTATGACATTCCTCCATCTCTATTTTTCTTTCTTTATGACATTCCTCCATCTCTATTTTTCTTTCTTTCTTTATGACATTCCTAATCTAAAAATTTTGATTTGAAATAAATTATGATATTCCTCCATCTCTATTTTTTTCTTTCTCAGTGAAATTCCTCCATCTCTATTTTAAAACCCCAGAGATTTTTTGACATTCCTCCATTTTTATTTTTTCTTTTTTTTTTTTTTATTTCTCTATTTTTTTTTCTTTCTTTATGAATGAATTCCGTTTTCTAATTTTCTATTATTTTCTTTCAATTCCTCCAATCTCTTTTTTCTTTCTTTTAAATTTTTAAATACATTCTTATTTTTCATCTCTTTATTTAAAATCTTTCTTCCATCCTGAATATTTTTCTTTTCTTTCATGAGATTTGGATTTCTCTATTTTCTTTTTCTTTCTTTTTAGGATAACCATTTCTTTTATTTTTTTTTATTTCTTTATTTTAATTCCTCCAAATCTTTATTTTTCTTTCTTTCAATTTTTTTATTTTATTTTTCCTTTCTTAAATTTTGGCATCTTTATTTCTTGTTTTCTTTTTTCTATTTCTCTATTTTTCTTTCTTTCTTTATGACATTCCTCCATCTCTATTTTTCTTTCTTTCTTTATGACATTCCTCCATCTCTATTTTTCTTTCTTTTCATTCTTTCTTTTATTTTTCTTTCTTTCTTTATATTTGAAATTCTCCTTTTTCTTTCTTTCTTTTTACACACATTCCCCTTCTCTATTTTTCTTTCTTTTTTTTTAAAATTTTAAACTTTTCATTTTTTTTTTTTTTAATCTTTTTTCTTTTTTTGACATTTTTTCTTCTTCTATTTTTCTTTTGTTTTCTTTTTGACATTTCTTTCTTCTCTATTTTTTTCTATTTTTCTTTTTTTAGGACAAATTTTTCTTTTCTTTTTTTTTTTTTTATTAAAATACAAAGAAAAATAGAAACTATTTTTCTTACTTTTTTCTTTTTATTCCTTCTTCTCTATTTTTATTTCTTTTTTATTCATTAACTTTCATGCTATTTTTCTTTTTATGACATTCCTTATATTTTTTATTGAGTTTCTTCTACTATATTTTCATTTTTATTCTATTCTTTCCTCTCTATTTTTCCTTTCTTTATTTTTATTTTCTTTCTTTCTTTCTTTTTATTTCATTTCTTCCTCTATATTTTTTCCTATTTTTACACTGTTCCTTTCTTTCCCTTTTTCTCCTTGTTTCTTTTCAACAAGCTCTTAATTATCAAAACTTACAATACAAGAATTGGCTAGGTAAGACAGTGCAACAGCAAAAGGTCAGTCAAAGTTTAACAAAGTGCAAGTTCAAATTCTCTCGTGCAACCTCTCTGCTTCCCAAGTCAGGCCAGATTAGATTCTTTGGTTGAATTATCAAATGTCATAAGTCACAGGTTTATGCAGTAACAACAAAATACTGCTGACCTATTTGTTATACATATACCATTTTTTTCTGTATGGGTGAAAACATAAACAGTAAATGTAAATATATTTTGTTAATCAAAGTTTCAATTAGATTATAGGTCAAAATTTCTTAACTATAATTTTGGAAAACAAAAATTTCATTGAAATATATTGGAAAATTTCCAAGTTATCATCTGAAATCAAGAAAATACAAACTTTAAACAAAATGGTTGCAGTACATATGAAAAAAAGTATCAGTTTAAATTGATGCCAGCAGTTTATGGATTAAAACTGTGTCAATAAGTTATTTCTTGTGTTCTACAAAATGTGAATAATCTGGATAAATTTGGATATGACAGTTAGTCATGTCCTCTAGGATTTTTTGTCAGTTGCCTGGCCTTAACCAGGTGGGCACATCACCTAGGATTTCTTTGTCAATTGTTGGACCATAACCAGTTGGATATGGCCTCCAAGATTTGCTTATCAGTTGCCTGACCATAACCAATTGTCATGTATTCTAGGATTTTTTGTCAGTTACCTGGTCTTAACCAGCTGGGCACATCACCTAGGATTTCCTTGTCAATTGTTGGACCATAACCAGTTTGGTATGGCCTCCAAGATTTGCTTATCAGTTGCCTGACCATAACCAGTTGGTCATGTATGCTAGGATTTTTTGTCAGTTGCCTGGTCTTAACCAGCTGGGCACATCACCTAGGATTTCCTTGTCAATTGTTGGACCATAACCAGTTTGGTATGGCCTCCAAGATTTGCTTCTCAGTTGCCTGACCATAACCAATTGGTCACATCCTCTAGGATTTTTTGTCAGTTGCCTGGCCTTAACCAGCTGGGCACATCCCTTAGAATTTTCTTCTCGATTGCTGGATCATAATCAGTTAGGTATGTCCTCCAAGACTTGTTTGTCAGTTGCCTGACCATAACCCCTTGGGCGCATCCCTTAGAATTTTCTTGTCAATTTCTGGACCATAACCAGTTGTACATATACTCTAGGATTTGCTTTGCAGTGGCTAGACTGGAAAATATATTTGTGTGTACAAACTGAAAAATAGGTTATGTATTATATCTTAATTCAAGATGACAAGATTATTTTAAAGACAGTAAGGATGAAAGATATGTAAAAATTAGGAAACCCTTTTTGTTCATGTTCAAATTCTTCATATCTTTGATTTTAATTTGAATTAAATTTTAAAATGTACTATGCACCAATGATTTAAGCAAAAGAAAAAATAATCAGTTTTGGTTTTAATCTGCAACCACCAAATACAAACTCTCAACCTTACAAAACAGAGTGATAAACAAACAAAATAAATAGCCTCACATTTTTTTTTATATCACTTTCTGTAACTGAGAAACATCATCACAATTATTTCTTACTCATTAAAGAATAAGTTTCTCATTAAGTATAAGTTTCTAAAATGCAAGTTTGTTGGAATTTTTTGCTCACACTTGATATTAATTAAAATGAAATCTTATAAATTCTTATAATTTTATTATATTGCTTACTGAGAATTTAAAATAGATTCTAGTTTTTCTGGTTGAATAAAGAGCATCAAACAAAGGTAAATATATGGAAATATTTCATTTAATTTATTGGAGAAAATCTATTTAAAACTAAAAGGGGAGATAATACAGTTAATGTTTGCTATTGAATTAAGAATTCTTACAATGAAAAATATATAAAAAATTATTTGTTTTCATTTTAAAACTTCAAAAGAGTTGCAAATGTTTTTTTACAGATCTTTTTGTATATTTTTAGTGTGCTATGTAAACAAATTATAATGCAAAAAATATTCAAGTAAAAAAGAAATATTTAAAAAGTCACGTGTTCAACTTTGAAAAGGAGAAAATATTATTCAATAAAATAACTTCTAGCCTTGGAAGCAAATGCAGACATAAATAATAGAATTTTTGTATATGTTGCCTATCACATCCATAGAGGTAATTTTTATCAAGTCCTTTGTACAATGATGTCTTGTCCAAGAATTCAAATCAGGAAAATTAGGTGGCCATAGGTTGGTGATAGGATCATAAAAATTCTTGGCCAACCATTCCTGGATTATGTGGACCATATAAGAAGAGTCAGGGTCCTGCTGAAATATGTACAGACCCATCTAGACTACCCAGTTGATCCAGACCTTGATTATTAAGTTCAAAATTTTGATGTAGTCAATGGCATGATGCCTTACAGAATGAAGTAGGGTAGCATGAAATGGCTATCATTGTCCACAATCTCCAGGATCATCACAAATGACATGAACTTGGGGTGCATCAATATAATAATTGCTTATCAATTGCTGGACCATAACAAGTTAAGTATATCATCTAGAATTTGTTTTTTCAGTTGCCTGGCCTTAACCAGTTGGGTATGAACTCTAAGATTTACTTGCCAGTTGCTTGGTCATATTCCTTAATGTCTAATGCACTGATTATCTGTTCATGGTTTTCATAATGGGAGCATCATTAATAGCTACTGATCTTACTGCTGATGAAAGATCAAGATTAGAAATTGTTGTTAGGTCCAGAAATAAAGACACAAGATAGGAAATTTAAACAAATATATTAACAGAAACAGTAATACAAACATACAAAGAGAGTGTTACAGCAAGATTGTTTGGTCCGACTGTCAGAGCTGACTGCTGGAAACTTCTCTCAAAATGCAGTACCTACTCCTATTTATAGCTGAGAGAGTCCATGCATGCATGGGTAAATTACCATAACAGATATCTAATCTAGTTCTTATTTAGTATTGGTCAGTTATTGCTCACCTCATTCTCACTTTGCCCAAGTGCATACCTCTTGAATTTGGTGACATTAATTTTGAGTTCAATCCCTGGACTGGATGAAATCAAGACTGATTAACACTGGTGGCACTAATAACAATTTTTTTTTTTACAATGCTATTCACCCTGTACATCAAGGTAGAGGGTTACAGACTAAGAGGTACAGCTTATGCAGATATGTGAAGATAACCTGTTCAAGTCTAGGGTTAACTCTTAAGATTGTAGTGATTTGGGAAGCAACCTCTTGGCAAGCAGTTCCACAAGGCAGTGGGTTGGAATAATCTGCTCCAGTGGAACTTACATCTCATCAAAAGAATATGAAAAGAATGAAGGTGGTTTGATATAATGTGCATAGCATGGCAGGTCTTAGCTATGATGGTTAGGATGGGTGGAACTAATGTGTGTAGTTCATTTGAACACTCACCATGGAAATAGCAATAGAGCAGAGATGAAAAATAATTTGTCACCCACAAGAATGCGGAGGCGCTTTTGGTCTCTATCAAGAGTAGAAAGTGAAGATCGGGCATCTCCTGTCCATATATGGCAGCAGTATCTTAGGTCTGATCTGTAAACGTAGAGGATAGCAGGAGAAGTCAGGTACTTACTAGAGCAGTACAGAGAACCAACAATTTTTTCAGCCTCTTTTGCAATGGATTGTATTTACAAAAGTCCTAATAGGGTACTCAAGACACTGGGCTTAATGAGGGAACACCTGTTCTTCCCAACTGATGGAATGTCACTTGTTTGGTTATTGAGATATTGAATGTGACCAGCCATTTTTCCCTCCACTGAGCTGTTAGTTTTTTGGGGTTTTTTTTTGGTTTTTTTGGCAAATCACCCCAAGCAAGGCGGGTGTGCCACTAGCACACAAGGGGTTACAGAGGATAAAAAATAGAAGTAAAGAGGCGTATTTGGGGAAAGGATATAGAGGAGGATGAGGAACAATTTCAGAGTGTCAGATGTTGATTGAATATTTGAAGATCATAGTCATCAGGGAGAGCTCAAGTCAAAGGAGAGATCAGCTGGAAAGCTTTAGTCCTGTTGGGTTTTGCAGGTGCATTCGTATACCATTATATCATCAGCATAGATATTCACAAATGATCAGAGTATACTCTTGGGCAGATCTTTCATGCAAAGTAGAAAGAGGGTTGGACTGAGAAGTGGCCCTTGGGGACATCTGGGTTGACCACTTGGTAACCAGTGCAATGATGATACAGCATCACTGGCCAGGGGACTTCATAGACTGAAGTCAATGGCAAGGGCGAAGGATTCCCTGATGGAATCAGTCCCTTTTAACGGAGGAACCCCTGATGGAATCAGTGGCCAGGGAGGAGGATTCCCTGATGGAATCAAAAGTCACATGTCCATGACCAAAGCGAGCATTCAAGTTGTAGAATATTGACTGTGGTTTGACCTGGAGAGGAGAGGCTCCACCAAGACAAACTATGCATGAATGAATACCTATTCAACTTTCAACCCAGATATCTTTAAGGAACTGGCCAGGTGCTCAGTTACACAGTGATGTTGTTACCACATCCAGTCATGGGACTGA